TTTAAAAACAAATCTTACACAGCCTTACATTTCAATTTTTTTCTTTAAAAGGAGTGAGTTGTGTACAGGGGGGTTAAATGCTTTATAGACAAGGGAAAAAAAACTGCGCTAGAACCAACTTATTCATCATCATCCTCATCTTCTTCATCTTCCTCGTCTTTCTCCTCCTCCTCCTTTTTCTTGCTCTTTTCAGCCTTGACAACTCCCTTTTTTGCTGCATCAGGCTTTCCTTTAGCTTGGTATGTAGCAATATCCTGTTTGTATTTTTCCTTCAGCTTAGGAGCCTTTTTTTTTTTTTTTTGAGAGGTTTTTGCTATAGGGCGCATGCGCTCGCCAGACAGACAGAGAGAGACAGAGAGATAGAAAGCGAGAAATCACCCCCCAGGGGGGATGGCCATGCCGCAATCCCTTCTCCTCCATTCTCCTCTCGGGATCTTGGGCATGCACGCACATGCACCTGGTGTGAGTTTAAGCCACCGGGTCCGGGACATGAACCAGCGACATAGCCATTACGCTAACTGCTGGTCCCGCAGCCTTCTTTTCATAAGGCCGTTTATCATCTGCAGAAGTGTTATTCCATATCTCTCCCAATTTCTTTGCAACATCACCAATGGGTAGGCCAAGATGTTTTCCTTTGAGTTTTGGGTGATATTCAGAACAGAACAAGAAAAAGGCTGAAGGAGGTATCTTGGGTGCATTGGGATCCTTGAACTTCTTTTTTGTTTCCCCTTTAGGAGGGATATAGGTTTTCATTTCTCTTTCATAACGGGCCTTGTCCGCCTTTGCCATATCTTCAAAGTTTCCTTTCTCTTTGGCAGACATGGTCTTCCACCTCTCTGAGCACTTCTTAGAAAACTCTGAGAAGTTGACTGAAGCATCTGGGTGCTTCTTCTTGTGCTCCTCCCGGCAAGTTTGCACAAAGAATGCATATGATGACATTTTGCCTCTCGGCTTCTTAGGGTCTCCTTTGCCCATGTTTAGTTATCTTTCCTCCGTGAGGCACAGAGTCGCCCAGTGCCGGTACGGCTCTTACTTGCCCCGGCACTATCTCTACTCAAATTATTTCTTGAGGTCCAAAAGGAAGGAACCCTCTCAAATACATTTTATGAAGCCTCTATCACCCTCATCCTCCAAATTTGATAAGGACATGACAAGAAAGGAAAATTGCTGATGAATATGTCTGATGAAGATAGATGCAAAAATTCTCAACAAGATACTAGCAAATTATGATACTAGCAACTTGTGTCCAGCAACATATAAAAAAGATTACATATCACATCCAAGTAGGCTTAAGTTCAGGGATGCAAGGAATTAAGATTTAACACACATAAAACCATAAATGTAATACATCATATTCATTGAAAAAAAGATAAAAACCATATGATTATATCAATCAATGCAATAAAGGCATTTGATGAAATACAACATCCTTTCATGATTAAGACTCTCAGCAAAGTCAGCCTAAAAGGGTCATCTCTCAACACAATAAAAGCCATCTATGAAAAACCCATAGTTAACGTTGTACTGAATGGGGAAACCCCAACCCTGGGGGGGATGACCACGCCTCAATACCTTCTCCTCCATTTTCCTCTTGGAATCTTGGGCACACTTGACTAGAGTGAGTTTTAAGCCTCTGGGTCTGGGACTTGAAGCAAGGTCAACTACGTAGGAGTACAATGACATAACCATTATATTATCTGCTGGTCTCTCTACTTCTTTTCAATATAGTACTGAAAGCCCTAGCCAATGCAATCAGACAAGAGAATAAAATAAAAGGTATTCAAATAGGAAAATAACTGAAATTAGGAACCAGCAGTTGGTGTAATGGCTATGTTGCGGGACTCCCATGTAGTCGACCACAGTTTGAATCCCAGATCCGGTGGCTTAAACTCATGCCAGGCATGTGTGTATGCGTGCCCAAGATCCCTAGAGGAGAATGAAGGAGAAGGGAT